ATCAAGAAATTTGAACAAAGATAGATACAAACATATATGATCGCATCAGTAAACGAACAATAAAAGGAGATCAAGCTATTGAAAGACCACCGACAAACCGTAAATCAACGTGAAAAGCTATTAACAGACGCAAATAGGGTATCTAAATCCAATCCGATGGTCCAAAGTAGGGAAGATCAATAAGATATCAGATAAGCGTCATCTTGATTAGTCGTGACGATGTTAAAATAACCCTTAGAGAAAAAAAAAGATAAGTGAAAAAAGGTCAAATGACCGAAAAACATACCAAAAAACATAAGAAGATGTATCTAAAGCAAATGAAAACGTGTAATACAAACAGACTTATTGAAAATAAAAAAATGAAGATATGATATAAAAAAGAAAAAGATAATATAAAATACTAACGGTCGACAACTAATATTAAAGTTGATGTCGCTGTCGATTAACAAAAACAAAAAAAATATAGACGAGCGATACACCAATGAGGAAAAATTAAGTTTTTGATCTAGTTGAAATATGATTTTAATTGTTGATTCTTTTTTAAAATATATTATTTCAGCGAGAATCTAGAAAAATTTGATATGCTAACTGATAATCATGTTGAAATCAGAATAAAATAATGGTCACATCACCAAATAGGTCCCTCTGATGCTAATAAATTTCTATTTGGGATTTTGTTCCAGTTCCAAATGCTCATCTTTCTTTGCACAAGTGGGAATAGTTTTAATCCCATTGGCATCTTCCACTTTTAACCTGCAGACTTCACATGAAAGCTAGAAAAAGCATCCTAGTTTCTTCTCTGTCCTATGTGTATGTGCAGGGGTGATTAATGAGTTAAGTAGTTGTGAGGAGTTTAAATTTATCTGGTTAAAATTTGATAAAAACTTGATTTGTATTGATTTAATTCGAGATCTTAACGAGTTGAATTGAGTAAATTTTAACTCGACTTGATAAGTTCGAGAGTAACTCGTTAATTTTTTTTTAATAATTTTTAGTAGCTATTTTAAAAATTCATTTTATTCAAAAATTACTATTTATTAATAGATTATAAAAAGATGATAAATGACTAATCTATTAATTTTCTAATAAATAATAAAAATAATAAATTATTAATTAGTAATTATTATTTTACTACGTCCAAGATCAAACTCTAATTAATATTTTAATGTATTTGTAGATTATTATTTTGGAGTCTAGACTTTCAATTTATTACACTCTTTTGATAATTTTTTGGTTAAATTTATTAATTTATGTTTATATTAAACTCTATATAATATTAGTAGATTTTACTATAATTTAAAAACAGGTAAAATTTTCAGTGAGCTTAACGAATAACGAGACGAACACGAGTCGAGCAAAATTTTAACGAGCTTAACGAGCAACAAGTCGTTTTACAGCTTATTTTATGGAAGTATTTTGACTCGCTATATTTTATTTTAGGGCAAAAATGCTCCTAACATTTGTTTAAGTAGTTACTTTGACCATATCCCGTAAACACCGTTAACTTCCAATATCTTTACAGAGAACAACACCCCTTTTATCACTAAAATCACTCGATCATAAGTACTGCTCCATTCAAATCATTGAGGTCCCTTTTACAGCTTGGAAAAAATTTCAGCTTGGACAAAATTTAGTTAGGGGCCGTTTGTTTACTTCAGAATGATTAAGCGCTGAATGATTCAAATACTAAATGATTCAGAGGCTCTGTTTGAATTAGCTCTGAATGTGACATGTTGTTTGATAATGACTCTGAATCATTCAGAATGTACTTCAGTGCTGAATCATTCAGCACTGTTTTGCTGAATCAATCAGCACTGAATCATTTAGAGGTGCGAAACAAACTCGCACCTTTGTTAGGGGATGTTTGTTTACTTCAGAATGATTTAGCGTTGAATCATTCAGAAGCTCTGTATGAATTAGCTCTGAATATGACATAATGTTTAATAATGGCTCTGAATCATTCAGAATGTACTTTGTGCTGAATCATTCAACACTGTTTTGTTGAATCAGTCAGTACTGAATCATTCAGAGGTACGAAACAAACGCGTTGAATGTTGAACGGTTCAACATTCAGTGCTGAATGGTTCCATTAAGAGGCAAACAAACAGCCCATTAGATATAAATATGCATAATTTTTTTTTAAAATGAATTGGTGGCTGATCTTAAATGTCAATTTCCAACCAGAAATGGAAATAGCACATGGCCCATGTGATAAATAATATGTGAATGTGATGCAGCAATCTGCCGTGTTATCAATTATATAGCTTTGATGTACACGGACCATATCACATTGTGTATAAATGATAAATGATAGGCATGCCACAAAGTGCGTGGGCATGTGACTCTCTTTGATAATCAACATAACTTTATACAGTACCACCAATATGGCATCTTCTTCCGGCAATAGTACTTCCACCACCAATAACTTCCGATTCAACAATGTCGTCGCTCTTTATTTAATCAACTTACAATGTCTCTATGTCAGGTTTAATCAACACCTTTATTTAAAGGAAAGCAAAACATAGAACAAACTCTGCACCATGTTATCGTGAACCAATTCTTCAACATTCACAAACTTAAACCAGAAATTGGCATGATCGAACTCCATGGAAGGCAGGACCTCATGAGGCGTCTTGGAAAGCAAAGGGCTGGTGGAACCATCGAAACAAGTTCTTGTAACGATGGAGAAGACGATGGATTTCAACCAGGTGGTGCCTGTCTTGGGGGAACTGCAGAGCATGATGTCGGTGGGTTGAGCTTGGAATCGTTGTTGAGCTGAAACAAGTCGTTTTAGGGTACCCGGGAAGAACCAGAAGCCTTGGTATTGAACCAAACTTTCAGAATTTCCCCAGCTGTTCCCTTTGGGGAGAGTCGATAACATCTCTTCCAAGGATCTCTCTATCTCATCTTCATCGTCATTCTCAATGTGTTTACTAATGGAATCTGAGCGGGACTCCATCAAGAACAAGCTAATGGGTGTGTGAATATGATGTCTAAAACCAACACAATACCCACCCATTAAGAAGAAATATCCCAAGCCACACAGGGCTGGGAATTTACACCATCAAATCTAACAATACGTTTACCACTAACTTGTATGCTAACAGTATCCCTGTTCAACCCTAAGATAACATCAGCAGAACGAGATGAATTAAGGTTTCGAGTTGAGTTTTTACCAAGCTGTGACCAAGTCGAATTCGAGCTCTTCAACTCGTTAAGCACCCTAAACCCAGACCACCCTCAGACTTAGGAGTGCAAATCTGGGGCTAATCAACCTTTGCCCCCGCAGCAAAAGAATCAGAGCCTCTCCAGAAGAACCTGACACAGAGACGCTCAATGGCTTTTATGACAGATTGAGGGAGGATAAGCTGACAACTCCAATAGTTAACCGTACTAGTGAGAACAACACGGATGAGCTGTAACTATTCCAGTGACCCAATTCAGCCTTAATACTCTTAAAAAGCGGGTAGCAATCCTTCTCGGTTAATTTTTTGGTGACCAGAGGCACACCAGGGTATCTAATAGGAAGGAGGCCAATTCTGAAACCTGGCCGACTGTGAATTTCATCAAGTGGGGCAGTAGAAACCGCAGAAGCGAAAGGCTCACTCTTAGCAACATTTAACTTCAGATCAAACCAGAAATAGAACTGCTCAAGAACACAAGTGATCCCCACCACAGAATCCACATAGCCTTTGTAAAAAATCAAAAGGTCATCGACAAAGCTCAAGTGCGTCAACCCAATTCATTTACATTTAGGATGATACTGAAAGATTCCCTTGGAAGCAGCCAAATCCAAAAGCTTTGAGAGGATGTTCATGGTCAAGACAAAAAGGTAAAGAGACAATGGGTCTCCTTGCCTAATGTCCCTACCACCCTTGAAGAACCACACTAAGATGCCATTAAACGCAACAGAGTATCTGTGAGTAGTTAGACAAGCCTTTATCCATCCTCTAAAAACCTCAGGCTGACCTAAAACTTCCAAGATAGCCAAGATAAAATCTCAACTTAACGTGTCAAAAGCTTTTTGAATATCAATCTTGAGAGCACATCTCGGGAAAAGGGATTTCCAATCATATCCCGTGTCAAAAGCTTTTTGAATATCAATCTTGAGAGCACATCTCGGGAAAAGGGATTTCCAATCATATCCCTTGACAAGCTCCTGCGTCAAGAGAGTATTATCTAGGACTGTAAACGAGTCGAGTCGAGTTTGAGCATTACAGAACTCGACTCGAACTCAAAAAGTTTAAAATTAGGCTCGACTCGATTCGAAAACTCGTGAATTAAAAATTATCAAGCTCAGCTCGAACTCAAAAAAAATTCAGGAGCTCGATTAAAGCTCGATTTTGAGCTCGAACTCAAACTCGAATTTAAACCTACAAAAATCTTATATTACATTTAAAAATATATTTTTAAAATTTTATAATTATCAATAATGTATTTTTAATAATGTAATTTTAAACAAATCTAAAATTATAATATAACATTTTTCGAGTAGCTCGCGAGTTTTTCGAGTCGAGTATTAAATAGCCCATTAAGAATTCGAGTCGAGTTCGAGTTCATTCGATTCGAGTGTTGATCTAGCTTTGACTGAGTCGATCTCGAGTAGCTCGCGATCTGTCACGTCTCATTTACAGTCTTAATTATGTCCTTTTATTGATATGATAATAGAGAAAATTTGGAGGTTTTTTTTGTTAAATCTTTTCAAGGGAAAATATTTTTTCTAGCTTAGTAGATTTTTTTTCAAAGGGTAGGATCTTAAATTTGAGGTCTTGTGACGTATCACATTCTACCCTTTCTAATGGATGGATTTGATTCTGATTATCGTATTAATTTTTTTGAAGAGATTATTGTATTAATTGTAACTTAAAAAGAAGCACCTTTTGAGAGTATTAATGCATTGCTAAACTTCTTATTACGTATGAAACCGAACTAGTTGCCAACATTTTGGTAGAATTTAATACAAGAAGATTTGACTTTAGATGTTACCTATACGTTACGCCATGGTTGGAGTTTAACTAAAGTTATTTTTCATTTAATTATTTGTTTATCCTTTATCGCAGATTGTTTTTTTCAAACGTGACGACTGTATCTTAAAGACCATTTTCTGGGAATTTTGTAGGCAAAACATAATCAGAGTCAATTCAGACATTGAAGCATTGAACATGTTACCGGAGGATTGTCTTTCTGTTGTTCTTTCCTTCACTTCCCCTGAAGATGCATTGAGATCATCCTTGGTTTCTTCCGTTTTCCGATCGGCCACCGATTCCGATATGGTCTGGGAAAGGTTTCTGCCTCCGGATTATCCCGAAATTGTGTCGAATTCGGTCAGGCCTCTCGAGTTTCGTTCGAAGAAAGAACTGTTTCAGTGTCTTTGTGACTCGGTCCCCATAGATGGTGGAAACAAGGTAATCAATTAAGCTTCTTTTCATCTGCAGTTAAGTAAATGTAGATTTCATTAATCTCAACACTGTATTTGATGTTGAAAGGCAATGAATTTCACCATATTTAACAGATGTTGAAAGGCAATGAATTTCACCATATTTAACAGATATTGAAGCTGGAGAAATCAACAGGCAAGAAATGTTACATACTGTCTGCACAACAACTCTCCATTACATGGAGCTCAAATGCATTGTATTGGAGCTGGATACCCATGGCTGAATCAAGGTTGGTCCTTTCATTTACTACAATCGTTCACAGATTTTCTCAACCTCTGGGTACTTCATATGATCTTTCCTTTTGCTTTTGCAGATTCTCTCGAGTGGCTGTGCTGAGAACAACCGACTGGTTAGAAGTTAGAGGGAGTATAAGGACTCAAATGCTGAGTCCGAATACGAGTTATGGGGTTTATCTTGTAATGCAGGTCTTGGAGCGTGCTTATGGGCTTGATTTAATGCCATTGGAGATGAGACTGGAAGTGGGGAACAAGGTTTGTTGCACAAGTGTTTTCTTGGAGGAAAAGAAACAGATGAGCGAAAGGGAAGACGGCTGGATGGCGATGGAGTTGGGAGACTTCTTCAGTGGGGACAAAGATGAAGTGGTGAAGATGAGTTTGATGGAGATTAAGGGTTGTCATTTGAAGGCAGGCCTTGTGATTGAAGGCATTGAATTCAGGCCAAAACTTCAAAATATGATTAGTAAGTGAAGAAATTTAGGCATTGGAATTGAGAAAAATAGGCATTAGAGTCCAAAGAGCACCGCAACCGCTCCACATGTCCAATTCATGCACCTTGTAATTCATTTGTGGTCGTTTATATTCGTTTATTATTTTAACGAACGGATATGAACGAATACAAACAAGTTATAATTTTTTAATGAACAACTCAACTTTTTTTTATTCATTTAGTTGTTCATGTTCGTTCATTTATTCAGTTAAAGTTAAACGGACGAACATAAACATACTCTCGTTCGTATTCATTCGTTTCGTTTACATGCCATTCCATCCTCACCCACCTTAATTCTTTGGCATGTACTTAGAAAAATCTAGATACTGTATGAACACATGCTTGGTTGGTTCTGATGAACCTAAATTCTGACCTATAATTACCCACAAAGAAGGCATTGCGATTCACTCTGTTTCTCTGTTTTATCGTATGACAGTTTCTGCCCCTCAAGAGTGTTATGAAGCTCTATTATGATGACAGATGTTAAAAAAGATGAACACGTAATTTTATGTTAAGAGATCAATTTATAAAATTTTAAGAAAATGAATTCGGAAAAAGTTTAAAGATGAAAATACGTACAACTTGAAGCCACGAACAAATATGACCGAAAATACACCGAATTGTTGCAGATATATCAATATATGCTGATGCGGCTCTCCGTATGTCATCTCGCACTTGTGAATATTCTATTCATCTTTCGACTCGCTTTGGATTGACGAAACATGGACGCCATCCAGGCTCAACATATATTCTCGGGTTGCTATTTTTTTAGTTTTTGACAGAACGTATGATTTTTTTGTAATATTTTTAAATTCAGGAATTGGTGAAAAACCAAAATCCAAAATCCCTATTTATAGCCTTACCTTGTTGGTAATGTTCAATCCCACATAGTATTGGAAAAACTATTGGGAATGGGTATTTAAGGTTTGGATTTCTCACTTCCTTGTTGAGTGAAAGAGAACAAGGGGGACTCTCGCGCACCGTCGCCGCCGCCAACCATCTCGTCTCGGCACGGCTCGGCTCGTGGTCGTGATAATACGTGTCTTCGATTCAGCGGTACAAGGCAAGGTTAGTTGTCAAAGGGTTCACTCAAAGGTTTGGTTTAGACTACTTTGATACATACTCTCTCGTTACGAAAATCTCAACGATTCGTGCAATATTTGCGCTAGCCTCTATTCATGAGTTGCAGGTACATCAGATGGATGTTAAGACTACTTTCTTCAATGGGAATATAGATGAGGAGATTTACATGGAGCAGCCACTAGGTTTTGAAGCACTTGGTATGGAAGGCAAAGTCTATAGACTTAAAAAGTCACTTTATGGACTTAAGCAAACTCCTAAACAGTGGTATGAGAAATTCCATAAAACTATTCTTAGTTTTGGTTTTGTTGTGAATGGTTCGGATGCTTGTGTGTATTCGAAGATGTTTGGCACTGAATGTGTCATCATAAGCCTGTATGTTGATGACATATTGATTTTCAGTTCTAACATTGAGTCCATTAACAAAGTTAAGAGTTTCTTGTCCACAAAGTTTGAGATGACGGATTTGGGAGAAGTCGATATAATTTTAGGAGTCAAAGTTACCAAAACTAAAAAGGGATTTTCTTTAAGTCAAGCACATTATATAGAGAAAGTGCTAAAGAAATTTGACAGTTTTGATGTCGTCCCTATTCGAACTCCTTATGACCCTAGCATACATCTTGTTAAGAATAAAGGAAGTAGTGTTTCCCAAACTGAATATGCTAAATTAATCGGAAGCTTAATGTTCTTAATGAACTATACTCGGTCTGATATTGCTTATGTTGTGAGTAGACTGAGTAGATATACTTATAATCCAAGTGGTGAACACTGGATTGCTCTTAAACACTTACTGAAGTATCTTAAGGGTACTTTGGATTGAAAACTTGAGTTTGTTGGCTTTCTTGCGGTACTGGAATGATATTGTGATGCCAACTGGGTTTCTGATAATGATGAGGTAAGCTCAACGAGCGACTATGTTTTTAGTTTGGGTGGAGCAGTAATCTCGAGAAAATCATCAAAGCAGACTTGTATTGCTCGTTCTATCATGGAGTCAGTGTTTATAGCTCTTGACCTAGCTGGGCAAGAAGCCGAGTGGCTTAGAAGCTTGATAGCAAATATTCCGTTATGGGGAAGATCGACTCCTCCAGTTTCATTGTTGTGTGATTCACAAGCTGCGATATGTGTGGCTAAGAACCATACTTACAATGGTAAGAAAACACATTTGCATAAGACATGAATCATTTAGACACTTAGTAAAGAATAGAGTGCTCTCTTTAGAGTATGTGAAGTCGGAAAGGAACCTAGCAGATCCACTTACCAAAGGGTTAAGTCAGAAGTTTGTCCTAGATTCGTCGCGGGGGATGGGTCTAAAGCCCATTGGTTGAGGAATTCATGTTGGATACCCAACTTAGTTATCTAAGTTCCATGTGGTCAAACGAAACCATGGAAAGACTCATAGTGCACATTCCTATTGCCTATCCCTATAATAAATAATGTGCATTCCTAAGATGAGCTTAAGTGCTCTTAATAAATTCATAGCCCAGGCTTTGGGTGGTCTTAGTGAGAAAGACTTGATGAATTTACCGATTTTGGCTGAATATCTATTCTTAATAAGTTCATAACCCAGAGTGAGTGGGTAGTCCTAAATGAGAATGAAATAATGAACTTACCGACAGAAAGGTTGAGTTTGTTAAACTCTTAACAAATTCAAATCCAAGAATTTGGATGGTTCTAGTGAGAAGGACTTATTGAATTTACCGATAAATGAGGTTGAATATTTATTCTTAATGACTTATTAGCCTAGAGTTTAGGTGGTTCATTAATAATGAACTTGAAGAAAGTCACCATATCCTTTGTGAGGTTAAGCTATTATAAAAGCTCTTAATTATTTCATATCCTTGTTAAGGGTGGTTTATGTCGAGATAAACTTGATGAAATAACATATGTAAGTGAGAAGGGTTAGTCGCATTCTATGAAAAATGTTGGGCCATTTTTCTAGCACACTTACTAGAATCCTGAGGTAAGATGGCCAAATATATACTTTTGTATATATATCTTACACATCGAGGACTTAGGTGGATGAAGGGGTTAGTTGTGTGTTATGAGTTTACCCCCATCTTAGAAAGTTCCAGACTAGTTTCACTTATCTAAGAGAATGATTGCTCATCATCACTACGTACTAGTTCCAAATACATTCACTAGTGCTTAAGCAGCTAATCTCGCTATTGCTCTTTTGGAAAGTTTGTTTTCGAGTTTCAGAAGATTTCTTTCACATTAGTGGGGGAATGTTGGTAATGCTCAATCCCACATAGTATTGGAAACACTATTGGGAATGGGTATTTAAGGTTTGGATTTCTCACTTCCTTGTTAAGTGAAAGAGAACAAGGGGACTCTCGTGCATCGCCGCCTCCGTCGCCGCCGTCTATATCGTCTCGGGTCGGTACGGCTCGACTCGACTCATGGTCGTGGTCATGGTAATACGTGTCTTTGACGCGTCCACATGGATACTATCTTTTTAGAGAAAATTCTTGAGGAATTTCTCTTTGAAAGAAACAAATTGAAATATGTGAAAGATTTCAACTGATATTTATAGGCTGCTAAGGACTGTTTAAATTCAAATGATAACAACTGATTTAAGAGTTATCAAAAATTAAACAGCTTTTTTTTAAATTAAATCAAAAACGTTAAGATGTATCTGGACTGATTTCCAGCTTTGTACAAAGGGGACAAACTGTTAATATCAGGAGTTACAATGATTTAATTTTAGGAGTTATAATAGCTGAATAATGATGCAATGAACCTGGACTATTTCTGAGTCAGATTCATCTAGATGTTTCAGATGTTACAAAGAAGGGGTTTAATACTGATTTTATATGGACGATTTTAACCCTATTTTTAGCCTATAAATAGAGAGCTAAATTAAGCTTCTCAACATTCACAATTCACTCTCAAATGTGATTTCCGATAAGAAGTGCAACACCACCAGCAGTCCACTCCAGTTTCAGGTGTACAGAATTTGGAGCGACCGTGTTAATCTCGGGGGACGGGTCCGCCTACTGTAGCGATTACACACATCGGGGCAAATTCGTTTCTAAAGAAGTGGTTTTACCACGACACGGTTTACGAATCTGTTCCTTTTACATTATTGTTTATCTTTCCTGTCAGTGCTAACGGTGTGGTTTTGCAGTCCATATTTCAACAATTTAGAAACAAATTCCATATACTACAATCATGACAACACCTTTGAGCAAACTGATTCTCGATCTTTCCAAGATCGATTCACTTGATAGAAAGAATTATAGAAGGTGGTCCCAAAAAATCATGATATTCTTCGAGCAGTTTGATCTTGACTACGTACTGCTCAAGCCACCACCTACCATGCCGCCAACCCCAGCTGCCGGTAATGATGCAGATGCGGTTCTGAATGATGATGCCTTAGCAACTGCCGCCGCCACTCTCGCTACCTACGAGAAATATGAGAAAGACAACAAAACGGTGCGATGACATCTGCCCAGTCACATGTCAAATAAACTATTTGATATGTTTCTAAGAGAAAGGAGTGCCAAGGTAATATGGGATACTCTTGAGAAAAAGTATGGTGCGGACGATGCGGGCATCAAGAAGTACGTTATCGGCTAATGGCTTAAATTTCAGATGACAGACGACAAGCCGATAATGGATCAAGTTCATGACTATGAGAACTTAGTCGCTGACATCATTTCCGAAGGGATACAAATGTGCGAGGTGCTGCAAGCCAATGTTCTCATTGAGAAGCTGCCTAAGTCCTGGTCTGACTACCGCAACTCTCTTAAGCATAAAAAGAGAGAAATTTCTCTTGAAGAGCTCGTGGGCCATATGAAGATTGAAGAAGCCAACCGTATAAAAGATAAGCTTACTAATTCTATGAGTAATTTATCTTTTAGAGCTAACTTGGTTGAGTCTAAATTCAAGAAGATCATGAAACGTGGGAATCAAGACAAGAAGAGAAAACCTCAGAAGGCTACCAACTTCAAGAAGTCAGGAAATGCCAAACCTAAAGGAAAGACGCTCA